GGGAGGGGAGGGGAGGCGAAGATGTATAGCAGCAAAAGAAGTTCCAGGAGAGGAGAGGAGTCAAAGGCCCCACCTGACATATACAGTCGTACACAAACACAGTCACACATTCCCTCCCTCATGCTCACACATACACACACAATCTAAGACTTACAAAAATGCTCTCCAGACACCCACCCATGCTCCCCATTCACACCCTATTCACTCTGGTCCCGGTACTGCTGCACAAGGGTACACCATCACCGGTTCCCAGAGTTCAGCCCTTTCTGCTGGGGTGCTGATGAGCCCCCCCCAATGCCGAGCAAAGCGACCCACCACCCAGACCCCAGCAGATGGCCAGATCCCCCTCCTAGCCTCCAGCCCCGGGAAGCCAAGCAACAACAGAGGTGAGCTAGGACCCCTAGTCTCCCTCCGCCTGCTCCAATACAGTGTTGGTGCGTGTTGATGAGGTGTATTCATGGCTGTGGTGAGCGAGCAGTGCAGGCATCCTCTGGCCTATGCCAGCTGATGCCACCACACCACCCCTCTTCCCCCCACAGCCCTCTGTGTCTAAGTGCAGTTAAAAATTGGAAGTGGGCACCGGCACCTGGGATGAGGCTGAAATATCCCCTTGCCAAATGCCGTTGATTGTGCTCACTCCCAAGGCCCTAAGTGTGTGTGTTTGCGTGGAATGTTGTTGGTGGAAGTGTTTAATGTACAAATAAAATTGGGGGGCAGGTTGCCACAGGAATGCGGAAATGGGGTCCATGCCCGCACCCCCTGACTTGTCCAACCCCCAAAGTCCTATGTGCATGTTTGTGTGATGATGTGAGGGAGCAGGAGGAGAAAATTGTGTGGGGATGGGGAGGAATGGCTGGTTGGCCTAGGCCCTCCAGGGAGCCAGCTCCCCCACTGGCCCCAATAGGCACCTCCACTGCCAAAATGCCACCCAGGGCATGGAGACCTCAGCCCATCTTGCCAAGGCCCAAAGCAGCAGCATCACAGAGCTTCACGGAGTCAGAGGGAACCAACGCAGCCCCACCCCAGCAGAATATCTACTCCCATACCTGCATTTGCACAGCTTCCAGAATATATAAGACATAGGACATCCAGGTATGGTTGGGTCCTCCCCCGTGATAGACAGCAGAGGAGCCAAGGTCTACCCGAGGCCCCTGTGCCCGGGCCAGACACTGCCGTATGTTCCCGCTTTCTTCCCGGCAACATACATGTCAGGACCCGACCCCCAAGGCCTCGCCCAGATCCCCACACGGGGCTGGCCAACCCCACACCCCAAGCCCCCACCCAGACCTACTCAGGGGCTTTGCAGCCACCAGGCAGCAACCATGGCCACCGCCAAGTCCCCCAAGGGGCCCCACTCACAACCGCCAGTAGTCCACCCCCCAAGGCAACCCAAGCACCTCCAGAGAGAGGCAGCAGCCCCCCAGCCCCAGACACCCCCAGTGAACTCACCCTCAGGGAACGTCCGGCTACTCCAAACTCAGACCCTCCACTCCATCACCCACATCACCCCGCAGGACAATATCAATGACCCCCCATCATCGCTATGTGATGGAACCAATCAAAGGAGCCCAAAGAGATTGACTTGAAATGGAAGCAGAGGCTGTCCAAGTTCTAACAAATGTTTCCACCATTGTGAGGTTTGAGTCAACAGTTTGCATTCGTCTAACTGTGAATGTCATCAAATGTCTTGTTTATATGTTTTGGCAAAAGGAGTCTGAAACCAGGCATGTATTTGCTTGTTGGGTAACAGTTAAACGTGTGATGAGGTTCACTCTAAGAGACAGCTCCCTACAGGGTCAGAACCAAGGCAAGAGGGACGGTGGACACGTCACCAAATATGTCACAAACAGCAGGGAGGGTGCTGAGTCGTGCTTCTCCTTCCACTCATGCTCACCGCGTAACGCTGACCCAAACCTTTATCTGTCTGCCTCCTTTACTGCTTCTCACTGGAATCAGTTGCATGAGGATAAATGAAGAAAACACAATGCAAACATGGCTACTGAAAAAGCCATAACCACTGATGATGCTAACCGGGTCTTGGCCCAGGAGTTGAATGAATGTTAGGGTGAAATACAGAGGTCTTGGAAAGAAGACGTAACCCTGCAAACACTGAATACTCAAACCAACCCTCTAAACTATTGACATAAATGACTTTCATGGTTCTAGTGGAAACGGACTGAAACAAAACATTAGAGGCTAGTTCAGACACAGTGTTCCCTGTGGAAGCAGCACCTTAAAAAAACAATGTGGAAGTGATGAAAATCTGCTGTTTGAGTTGAACGGATGCAAACGGCCACCTAATGGATTCAGACCCCTCAGAGCAGCGCTCCGGCTGCATAAATGAGTGTGATTACAGGTGGTGGTCCGACACGGAGGAGCACTCATTCCCAATATTCCCAGGCTCTGACGCACACACTGTGAAGACACATGGTGTGACTCTTTTATGCAAATCCACATCACAGCACTTCTAAATACAGCTTCCATGTTCCAGCTCCTGTGTGATGATGAAGGGGAGGTGAGGGGAAAAAAAACGAGTGAAAAATCTGGGAAGTTGTCCCCACACATATGGAGAAGATGGCTCTTTTTGCTGTGCTAAAACCCACTTTTATACAGATTTATGTCCATTTCACACCAAATCCACATCATTTAAATGTTGCCCAGGGACTGGCCTCCTTGCACCCAGATCTTACCCCTCTCTCTCTCTTTCTCCGTGTTTTTAAATGGTAGCTTCTCTGTTTCACGGTTTGTCATGCTGCAGCACGAGGCTGTGCTGCTGCCTGTGAACCTAGCCTCTCAGAGGGTTTGAGATAAAGCCGAGCTGACGTGTGGGTTCGGCTGCGTCACAGCGTCCTCTGAAACTGTTTCAGCAAAAGAGAGGAAAAAGAAGACGTGCTCCTCCTGATGTGGCCTCCTTGTTACTCACTTCCACGCTCCTCTTGACACACAGATGCTTTTTTTTTCCTGCTGGTGCAGAAAACTGGACAGAGGGAAAACACCCCTCCATCACCGTAGAGAAAAACCACAAATCCATCCCCTTCTAGACACTCTTTTCTTTCCCATGATGCCCATCCCCCCTACTGAGGAGTGCCCTGGTAAATAATTGAGGCACGTTTCCCACATTTTGCTTTTACTCAACCAATGTTTTGCCTGCAAATTCTACATTTAGGTAGATTTTCTGACAACACTTCCAATTAGAGAAGTAATCTCCAATCAGCGGGTTGAATCTATTTGATTTACAACCATTCGTGTTTTTGTAGTTTATTTGCAAAATCAGCAATAAATGCACCGAGGTTAATTCTAGCAGACAAATCCTGCTGAATAAAGCGAGCTGTTATTTTGTTTCTGCAAACAAATCCCTTTGTTTCCAGGCAGCTGATGTGATTTGCAGCTTGTGCATCACTTCTGAGTCCTAATCTGTCTTCATTTCTGCAGCTGCAGTGAAGGAAAACCCGCTTGGATCCATGAGGAAATGTTTGCTGACACCTGCTGTCTGGAAGCGTCATTTCTACTAAAGTTAAGGATAAATCAGGTTTCATTTAAAACCCCAAAACATCACATTTAAATGAAACATAAGTTACATTTTTTTTATTCCTGTTGTTTTTTAAATCACATGCTGGTGGCAATGAGCTACAATTTAGCCAAGGCTGCCCTGGGCCACCGGTCCCTCTGACCACCACCAGCAGGCAGGGAGGGTTGAGTGTCTTGCCCAAGGACACAACAGCAGAGATCTCTGTCGGGTCCTGGGATTAAATCTGAAACTTTTGATTACTGGATGACCCACTCTACCTCTTGAGCTTCTGATGCCCCTCAAAAAAAAAAGAAAAGAAAAATCTGACCTTTTGATTTGTGAGAAAACAGAATCCTGAGATTAAAGTCAGAATTTTGAGAAAAAAAGTCAGAATTCCACGAAGTCAGAATTCTTAGATTAAAGTTGTAATTCTCAGATAAATGTCAGAATCAGTATCAGGTGTGACATTAAAGCAGAAGCTTTGATGCTCCACCTGAGGGTAACATCTGTAAGGCTTGTCACCAGCATTCATTCAGACATTAAATCTGTTTGCTTCACAGCCAGACAGGACAGGGAAAAAAAGAACTGATAAAACAAAAAGTGAGAAATCTGAGGTCAAAATTTTGAGAAAACAAATCAGACATTTCACTCTGAATTACAACTTTAATCTCAGAATTCTGAGATTAAAGTCAAAATTATTTTATTTCAGTGGACCTAATCTTTTTTTTTTATCTGAGAAAAAGAGAAAATTCTGTAAAAGATTTCAGAAGTCTGAGATTAAAGTCATTATCCTGAGAAAAATGTGAGAATTCTGAGAATAAATTCAGAATTGTTTTTCTTTTGCAGCGGCCCAATCCTCTTCTTTACTACAAATTTATTGAGATCAGCAAATAATTTAAATATCTTTATAATTTTGGCTAAAATTATTCTTATTTTATTAGGAATAACATGATGGGATTACTTTGGTTCTAATTTTGAGTAAATTTTATTTTAATGTATCACTGTCCACTGCTTGTTTAATCTCTTTACTTAAAGGAAGTAATTTTATTACTTTGTTACTTCTCCATAATTAGAGTAACTTTAAAAATGAACAAAATACATAAAATGATAATATTCTAAAAGTTGGAATTATTAAAGTAAACTTGATTTTAAATAGCACCTTATGATTATTTTTGAATCATTTAATTTAGAATAGATTTTTACACATTTAAAATAAAAAATGTAATAAAATGAAAAATAAACATAAAAAATGACAATCCAAGTAGATTCTTTAATCCTCAAACCAGAAACAAAATTTCACAAAAAAAACTCTTAAAAAAACAGCAGAAAGCCACACACACTCACCAATTTATAACGATTAAAAATCAAACATAGAATAAAGATTTTTTTTCTTCAATAATATTTAAAAGGCAGAAAGGTTTAAATATGCCTGAGATTAAAAAACAAACACATACATTCCAACGTGGATAAATTATAATCCAGACCCTCATAATAGTGGAAACATCAAAGCTGCATTTTTATTTCCATATTTAGACTTTTTTGTGCAAACAAGTCAGATATTTTCCAGTAAATAACTGAACTAAAGCTTCATCCAGTGTGTCTAAACCAAGAATACATTCAGTTTTTTATTTCATCTTCATTTCTCCTGTGCTGGATAAGTAAAACATTCCTCCTAAATGTGCAACGTAGCATGCAGCAGCGGCACTGGTGGAAATAAAACCCTCTAAACAAAAAGTCCCAGTGATAAAAGGTTGGTTTTTTTTTTTTGCATCAATGATTTCTTTAAATCTTCTCTCACGCTTCTGCAGCATCAGCCTCCAACCTCTCCTCTAAAGTTTGACCTGAGCTGGAAGGTTCGGTGTTGCTCAGATCCAGCGTTTCTGGGATGTTCGCATCAGTGATGTCATCCGTAGCTTCTCTGGTCAGGTCCAAACCGGACTCTTCTGCCCGATGGAGGTCAGACTCCTCTGTTTTCTCTGGAGACGGAGCTCTCTGATCAAACGATGAATGATCTAATAAAGGAATATTAAATATTAGTTAGGATTGGTTCGAGGTGCTGCAGGGAGAGTGAAGGACGCACCGAAGATACACGGATCTGTGTCGTCTCTGCGATTCGCAAACATGGAGCTGTGGCCTTCGTCACCGATGGAATCGTGTTCAGTGAGATCTGGAGTCGTGGCTTTGGGTGCGTTGGAATCGTCTGACAACAGAATCACACAAAACCTTGTTATTTTCTTTTTTTTGTGTGAAAAGATACAAAATGATTGAGCTCGAATAAGATCTGGTTACCGATGTGCTGCGGCTTGGGAAAAACTGAACTCAGACTTTGCTCCTCCTCAATATTTGAGCCACTTTCAGCCGAGGAAGCCACCTAAAGAAATACTTGTTACATAAAAGTCTCTGGAAAAGAGGGCAGGACAGGAAGTGATGCTTACCTGAGCTTCTCTGAGGCCTGATGCCTCGTCACATCGGTCCAGCTGAGCGGGTCGTGTTGGAATCCTGTGCAAATAGCCGTAGCCGATCCCGCATCCTAAGCTAATAAAAAATAAAAGGTCATGCATGTGTTTAATGCACTTTCATGCAGGATTAAGTATGATGACCAACCTTCCCTCTCCTCCCCACGCTCCATTTGGCGTCACCACCACCTCCCTGCACTGATTTGTGTGTGTGTTGTACACCAACAGCTTCATAGGTTTCCCCTCATTAGCTTCAATCAAAGAGAAGATATCTTCTGACTGCAGGTTAGAATAAAAAGTGACTGTTTGTACAGCTGCACGGTTTAATGTTGAAGCTAAAGTGAGAGCTTACGTCTTGTAACACCTGGTCGGCTCCAACTATAAAGTCATCCTGTGCAATCAGACCAGCCAGTGCTGCAGGGGAGTCGGCTTCCACATCCTGGGGCACAAAACAGGGATTTAATAAACATAATACCTGTATAAATTCCTGTGTTCTTTAGATCTCACCAAAACGTGCCACACGCTCTCATTGGCTCCCTCGAAGCTGCAGAAGCGAACGCTGGCGCCCAGCAAACCCTGACCCCCCCACATGTTGCTGGGCGTCACCTCCAGCTCCCTCACGCGCTGGGTTTTAGAGTTGTACACTTCAAGTCGAACCGCTTTCTCCATGTTGGCCTTAAGGAGGTCCCTGAGCAAGTCGCTTTCTTTATTCTGGGGAAAACATGTGCAGATGTATCTGACTTTGTTAGCGGGAGAAAATGGAATTCCTACAGAGCCACAAAACCTACTGGACTCTTAAAATTAAATCATCTATTTGTATAAAATACAGAAATAAATCATTTAGCTCTGTTTAAATGTATTATTTATTTTTAAATGTGAAAATGTAAAATAAAGAAGGTTGCAAACAAGAAAATTACATCATCTTGTAAAACATTGCAAAAAACTTAGAATATTTTCCTGTTGTTGTTCATAGTAACAGCTGCATGTTACTTGCAATTTATAAAAAATGTGCAAAATGTCAGATATGAACTGCAATCTTATTTTCCATTAATGCTGATTAATGGATTAGCTCTTAATTGGCATTAATCAATTGATAGTTTGATTGCTTATATTGACAACATTTAGCATACGAACTGCTCCAAGTAGTTTACTCACAAGTCTGGTGTTTCCTATCGAGAGGATGAAGTCAAAGAAAGGCTCCAGACCAGCCTTAAAGGCAGGAGAGTGTTCCTGAACCTAAAACATAAATAATGCAGATTCTGAACCGTTTGGAACACTGTCGCCCCCATGTGTCCGCTGCAGGTACCGCAAATGTCAATGTCTGCTAATTACGGGCACTGCTCGCCTTATACAGTTCAGTGCGCCACTTTAAGTAACTTGATTGTTTGTTTTAATTAGTTTTAAACAATCATATAGTTAAACTCCTTAAATTTATAACTTGTGCCAAAGAATTTGGGCGTGTGCCAAATGCCAACTCATTTGGGGCGGACACGACTGATAAATTCACAAGTTCAGCTTTTTGTGAAACAAATTGTTCAAAAATTTCGATCTGAGATTAGAGGAAATTAGCAAGTAGTCCAACTTTACACGTAATTCAATATTAATCTAAGACGGCTGGGACAAATGAACATGTTTAACCTTGTACCTTTTACGTACCCCATGGACGTGATATCCAGTGTTACTTCCGCCATCTGGCAGAAGCGAGCCTTGCACAAGCCCCATTGTTCCCCCCGGTTCTAATCTGGACTAAACTGAGGTAGAGATTTGTTAGCAGTCATTGTTGGTAAAAGTTACAGTACACCGGATTTTAGCTAGCTAGCCTAGCACTTGCATCACAGTGCAGGTTAACACAGAAAGGCATAGCGAAACAATAAAGATAACAGAAAAATCGAACCGCTATCCAAATTCTACAGAGCTGAGATTCGATACTTGATTAGTCGTCCTTCTTAGAGTTGTCACCTCAAAGTACCCCAGTTACTAAAAATTACATAATTATAATAATACCTAATACACATGCTTAATTTAAAGTATTTACATTACATAAATACTTAAATTTGTTAGCCTCAAGGACAACCTGCTGGCGTCATTGTCATTTATTGCATTGGACAAATGCTTCAGCTAAATACATAAACATAATTAAAAATGTTTTATTATTTTTCTAAACATACTTAAAGTTTAAATAAAAATAATACAAACAAATGCAGCAAAAATACAATGAAAATCAAAATCTTGTTATCAGACAACATCAAATAACATAAAGGTAATGTTTTATTTATTTTTTTAAGAGTAAGTTATTAATTAATGTTATTAAGTATGGCCTGGTGATGATTGTGACTTGTCTAGGGTGACTGCTGAAGATAGGCACCGAATTAGGGGTCATGGTTCAGTAAAAGAGTGAGCTAATAATACTATTTGAATTTTATATTATAGATAAACAGTTTTTGATCATTAATTGGTATAAAAGATTGAAGTCTTGATGTATAAATTACTATTTCTAAAATATCCTAATTTTAAACTTATTCAGTCTGCAAATGTACACAGTGTTCAAACTGTGAAGCTTTGGTAATTTTCCTAAAAAATAAAAAAACTGCTTTTTAGGTTATTTGTACTCTATTGTCTCTATGTCGAAGTATTTAAACATTTGACCATTTAAGCTTTTTTCACTCAATCAACATCAAAAAGTTTTCAAAACACTTAATTTTTGTACTTTAGTTGTACTTTTGCATGGATAAACACCACATATTTATCTTGTGCTGCACTGTTTTTTGAGGATTAATCTGAGGCCTGCAGGCTGTGGAACATTTTCCTCTTTACATTGGCAGATGAGCTGTTTGGAAAACCTGTGCGACTCGCACAATTCACAGGCGGCCTGGTTGACATGACACCAATGCACCTGTTATTTTCCCATCACTATAATAAATGATACTGAAAAAAGTTCTCCTGCCTTTGATGTTTCTTAAAAATATGGTATAATTAACAGAATTGTTATTTTGAAAATGAATGTAGAGATTTGAAATGTTTGACAATGAAGCTGCATTTTAAAATCCATCTGTATATGTTGTGCTAATTCTAGAGCTGGTTTTGACAGGTGACTTAACACCTGTGTTTTGAAGGTCTTTCAGCATGAAACGGGTATAAATAGTTAATAGGTAACTGCATCTAGTCCTCATTCGTCCAAAATGATCTGGCTCCTGGCTCTTGTGTCCTGCTTTGGTAAGATCGCAGCAAGAAGTCCAAACTTTTCAAAATTTTTTGAATTTTTGCAAATTTTGAAGTTGCTGCTGCATCTTGTGTGTGTTTGTGTGTTCTCCAAAGGACTGATTTGTGCTGAAGAACCCTTCAGACACAATGACAGGGTGATAGGAGGAAGTGATGCTGAACCCAACACCTGGAAAACGCAGGTAAAGCCACATCCATGATTATCAATCATAATTCAGGATGTATTGATGCAGAGAGCATTTGTTTTCTCTTCAGGTTTCTCTGCAGTTTGACTCATCCGGTAATCGTTATTTCTCTCACATCTGTGGCGGTTCTGTTATTTCTAGCTTCTACATCATGACGGCAGCTCACTGTATCCTCAGGTTTGGGTTCTGACTGGTGTGTCATGTCTGCTGAACTGGATTAGTAGGATAATCGGGATTTTTTTTTCTTGTTTCCTTCAGCACGGACGCCAGTCATTATCAGGTGGTGGTGGGCGAGTATAACCTGGCTGAATACGAAGGCAGCGAAGAGTTCATCTCAGTGAAGAGAATTATTGTCCATCCTGACTGGAATGGAGATCTCGGCAATGGGTAGAAGATCATCATCTTAAATTAAATCTCTTCAGTTTTTGTGTCATTTACAGCAGACTTCTGGTCAGGTTTTATTTGCGATGGTGGGAAACAACTTTCATGGCTGTTATAGGCATTTTCCACCTTCGTGCTAAAATGTCACTACATCGACGTCAGCTGAATCGGTTTTGAACACTGAATTTAACCGACTGTTAAATTTAAATTTTGTGCACTGATCAGTGTTAAAATCAGACATTTAATTAAAGTCAACCAAACAAATCAATTAACTGACTGAGAATAAATTCAAAACTGGTACATAAGAAATTTTAGTTGAAAATAATTTTTGGGAATTTATTATGTAGATGTTATTCAGGGATGTAAATGTACATTTAAATTAAATTCTGCAGCAGCACTGGGCTGTCCCGGGATGTGCCTGATCTTAAGAAGGTATATAAAAATGTTAAATATCGACTGGATCAATACCTTGATATATCAATATATTGATCTATCCTTACCTCGGCTCAATGCAAAATAAATAAATAAATAAATTGTTGAGTTCACTTTCACCTTCAAACCTGCAGACTTAAGAACTCACTTAAATAGAATCTGCCTGGCAACATGAGGTAGGCTGAATGACCTAAAAAAGCAACACATTTTGATAAATTTAAAGGAATTCATAAACAGTTAAATAATAAATAATGTGTGATCCCTGAGACTTTTGGCAAAATATTCAAGAATTGACAATACAAAAATAGAACTTTCTTAAAGGTGTGTCTCCCGTTCTATTTGGAGTACCATACCATACCATACCACACCATAGCATAGTTTATTTATAAAGCACATTTAAAACGCAGCATGGGAGCTGCCCAAAGTGCTGCACAGGCTAAAACAAAACACGACCAATCTAAGCAACTAAAACAGAAGATAAAAATACCGATCAAAAGCAGATAAAACATGATGAATACTAAGAACACATTAAAACAATGATACAATAAAACACTGAAATGAGTCACTGTCTAAAAGCCACATCGTAGAAGTGGGTCTTTAAACGAGATTTAAAAACCGCCAGAGATGGAGCCTGCCAAACTATAATGGGCAATGAGTTCCACAGCTTTGGGGCATCATGCACGAATGCTCGTTCACCCCGCGATTTGTAACGCATCCGCGGCATACACAGCAGCAAAAGGTCAGCCGACCTCAACGTGCGCGTGGGTACATAGGGAGTGAGCAGGTCAGAGAGATAGGGAGGTGCCAGGTCGCTGAGTGATTTAAATACAAAGTCAGTAACTTAAACTGTACTCTGTAAATGACAGGGAGCCAGTGAAGATGTTCCAGAATAGGGGTAATATGGCTACATCGGTGTGTATTCGTCAAGAACCTGGCAGCAGCGTTCTGGACGACCTGCAGCCGAGTCAGGACAGAGACCGGAACACCAACGAGGAGGGTGTTTGCGTAGTCAAGGCGAGTGGTAATGAAGGCATGGATGACTGACTCCAAATGCCTCCGTTTCAGGATTCGTCTGAGGCAAGTCAGGCGGCGAAGCTGATAAAAGCAAGACCTCACTACGCCGTTTATCTGTGGGGCCATTTTGAGTTCAGCATCCAGCTTTACATCGAGACTTGACACACACCGTTTGGGGTTGAGAGTTAAAAGGTCACAAACAGGGTGAGAGCCACGGTGGTTGCGGGGGTCAAAAACATTATACTCAGACGTCTTTTCATTTAACTTTAAGAAGTTGGATGCCAGCCAGCCCTTCACATCATCTAAACAAGCAGCCAATCGCGAGCTCACATTCTTCTCATCCATTTCTACATATAAACACTGCATATAAAAAAACAAGAATCCTACCAACATGGTGGTGGTAGTGTGATGGTCTGTGATGGAACCATTAATTCTGCTCTCTACTTGAAAATCCTAAAGAAGAATATCTGACTTTAAAATTGAAAATGACAAAATGCTTATTTTCTTTCAGGAATGATATTGCCATCTTGAGACTGGCTACTCCCATTTATGCTAACGGTTATGTGGAAATAGCCAACCTTCCCTATCCCGACCAGATGCTGCCTCATGGCTTCACCTGCTACATCACAGGCTGGGGATCAATGGACCGTGAGTATAGATGCACAAATTAATCATGCTAATTTCTGTAAATGTGTTTCTTTCATTCCATTTTCACGATCTCAGATTTTGGAAACAGCCCAGACAAACTGCAGCAGGCTCCTATCAACATTGTGGAGCATGCAGTCTGCTCTAAACCTGAGTGGTGGGGCAGCCTTGCTTTGAAAACTATGGTTTGTGCCGGAGGAGATGGAATCATCTCAGGCTGTCATGTACGGAGAACCAACACCGCTTAGTTATAAAAGAGTTTCCAGCACCTCATTTTTTTCTTCATTACTAATTCCTTTACTGCTTCTATCAGGGCGACTCTGGAGGTCCTTTGCACTGCTTCTCCGATGACGTCTGGAGAGTCCATGGCGTTGTTAGTTACGGACCAGCTGGCATGTGCAACCAAGTGTCCAAACCCACAGTCTTCACCAGAGTTTCATCCTTCATCTACTGGATGTATTCAGTAAGCATCCTAAAACATTACTGATAGCTATGTAAACCCAAACTAAAGACTGATTTCATTTTTCTGATCTTTTTCTTTTCAGGTTATGAATGAAAATTAATTGAATGCAGAGCTATAACTCCTAACTTTAACACGAAACAAATGAAATAAAATAAAATCTATGAGTATCTCAGACTTTCCTGTGTAACTTCTAGTTCTTGAAGTGTCCAAATGATGGTGCTACCCAGGGGGGACCAGGAGGGGCTATGGCTCCCACTTTAAACATCTTGGTACACCCCTGGCTAGATGGTCATGTAATGGTTTTTAAATTAAAATCAATTTAAGATAGAAAATAAGTTGCAAATGGACTTATTTATGCTTTAGTCGTGTTTAATATCTTAATCAAAATAATGTTGGTAAAAAAAATGTTTTCAATTCACCTTTACATGAAAACAACACAATAAACTCTTGGTATAGTTTTTATTCTGCCATATGACCCCAAAGATTAATGGCTGCTTATTCCAAAAGTGCTCAGGAAGCACCCCAGCTCAATGCTAGCTGGTTGATTACAAAGCTGAGCTCTTGACCTCCTGAGCATGAGATGATGGAAAGTTCCAACAGATGCTTTAAATCAGAGATCAAGAAAACCAGCTTTTATCAGACTTAAGTAGCATGGAGGTAAATCTGTTTTTAAAAGCTGCTGAGGTAAAGCTAAGCCAAATGATTTGTGAAATGTTTGCCCAACAGGAACAAAATGTTCTTAACTGAAGCCAAATGTGAGTTTTATGGAGTCGCACTCTCGACATTGACTCCGTCTCTGGAATTTCTGGCCATGTGTTTGTGACAGTGCTCAGGAAACTACAGCATGACCTCATGTGAGGTGTTTTTCTTCTGAGTCTCAGAGACCAAAACCAGAGATAAACTCCAGAAGAATTATTTTTTTCTTTAAAGGAAATAGCTGATTATCCTGTGTTTTATATGTTCTGTAAGTAAAATTCTAACTTAACTGAATCTTTTAAACTCAAATAAATTAAAACCATCATTTAGCTCTTAGCTCTGATCTTTTGTTAAAAGATATACAATAATGATGTAGTAGAAAGTTATTTTTTTTCTTTAAACTGAGAGGAATTTACTGTCAGCTTTAGATAACTTTTAACTAATTTACTGCCATTGATGATTCAAGTCGTCAATTGCATGTTTTAATGGGGCGGGCATGGGAACGCGCCCCCGTACCATGAGAATAAATATCACGTCTCTAAAGCTGATCTTCATCTGTGTATGTCACACGTCACGTGATCAGGAAGCAGAAAATCCATAAATTAGGAGAATTCTATTAACTTGGCTTGAGCTGTTGGTGTGCATAACTATCTCCGTGTTGGACTGGTTGTCATCCTGAATGACTGCATGTCATTTTCAGCTCCTTTCCACTGGGGTGTCCCACAAGGCTCTGTGCTGGGGCCCTTTTTGTTTTCATAATACATTGTCTCATTGGGGGATATTTTCAGAAAGCATGGGATAGTACCACCTCTTATGTTCCCTTCCAACCTCTAAATTTCCTTCAATCTCTATTTGATTGTTTTTCAAAAACATCAAAGCGTGGTTGGCTACCAATTTCTTGCACTTAAATGATTCAAAAACAGAGGCAGTCCACTTCTCCTCTAGGTGCACAGTGTGGTTCCTTGTTCTGTTCTCATTTGCTCATGCTTTAGCAACTCAGGTTGCTAATCTAGGGATTAAGTGTGACTCCTCCCTCCTTATGGACCACCTGGTAAATTCCACAGTGCAGTCCTGCTTTTTACAATTGTGGCAGATTGCTAAATTAAAATCTATGTTAAGCAAACAGCTTCTTGAAGCTATTAGCCATGAACTAATCTAACTCCTCTTTAATCAGCATTAAGAAAACCACTCTTGCCTCCAGCTAGTCCAAAATGCGGTGCCAAGGTTTCTGGTGCCAACAGGCATCAGCATGTAACTCAGATTTTATGTTCTTTACATCAGCTCCAAGTTTGTTTTGGAGCAATATCTCCATTTTAGCTTCTGTTTTAGATGTATTTCTGCAATTGTTTTCTTGTATTGACTCCTCTCTGGGTTGGTGTTAGCATGTTAGCAACTGCCTACAGAACTTCCAGCAGATTTGTTTTTGCCAGACAAATAATTGCAATATAATGGAGGATGCAAAGGTTTAAAAATAGCTTTGCATGCACACTTAGAATATTTTTGAGACTGGAGGTGTTTTAAGATGACATGTTACTTGTTAAACTACTTTCTCTAGGGTTAGGGTTGAGTACAACTCTTCTCCAATGCCTTATGTTTTCAACACACCACAAAAAATCAAACCATCAAGCATTTACAAAATGATTTTTGTTTTATTATCATTATTCAGAGGGACAAGCTGTCAAAATGGCTTGGATGAAAGAAAGTTGTTTTTGAACAGCAGGTTAATGTGTGAAAATATGTAAAAAATAAAGCAGCTTTGTTTGCTCTGCAGGACCTTTCAAGCAGAAATATGCACAACACAAAAAAGGCAAAGAAGAGAAAAAAGTAAGACACATTTTGCCTGAAATAAAAAAAATTGTACTGTATTATATTACAATGATAAACACTCACTGTTGACATTTCTTCATGAGACTGGATGTTTTGTACAAGAGAAAAACATTTGCTCGCAAATAATATGATAAAATTAGTGCCATCTTTGTGGCGTACGAACACATATAAAATAGATTTAAAAATAATCAAAAAAGGCAAAAAGAAGCAAATAATACAATTCCAATGTGCACTTTGCACGTTTCAAAGTATACAATTAATCAGAACAAGTTTTAACAAACAGGACCTGCATGCATAATTTCTAAAGGGTCCAGAAAGGCTGTTAAAACAGCTGTAGGGAGGGAGAGATATGTACATCAGCTCTTCACAATCACCTCTGAAAAGGTCGTGTTTCAAAATTAATGAAGCAACTCTTCAAATTAAACCAGGGTTTTGATTTTCTTCTTTACTCTGGATAAAAATTGTATAATATATGCAATTTTTACCCACAAAAAACCCTTCAGGTGAGTGTTTCATATTATTTTCTTAACCCAAGTCACAGACTTCCAAATACAAATCAGAGTACAATCAAGTTGATTTTTTTTCTTTTGCAATTTCAGTTTTAGTGGCATTTCTTAGTTAATCAACCATATGGCTGCCTATGAAAATACTTCAGAATGCTATAGAGAGCACTACCCTTCATAATAATACATTTCTCTATAATTCATATAGTACAAAGGCAGTCCCAGATTGAAAATTACTCATTTAAATTTCTTAATAAAATATTCAATTTATCAGTGATTAGAATTCTTTCCTCATTCTACATAAATTAGTTAGAAAATATTAGTGTAATTTTTCTATGGTTATATTAGAGGCAGCGATACAATAGACCCATCCTTTTGTTTCAGTGATTAGGGAGATTCCACAGTTTTCAGTCCCAAAAGCTTAAATGGAAGCACTGTGCAAACACATTCTTTCTTTTACACACACACACACACACACACACACACACACACACACACACACACACACACACACACACACACACACACAGCTGACAGGCATGGCTCCCCCTGATAAACAGGCACATCCAGTAAACCTCACAAACGCCCATGTTATTGCCCAAAAGTCTTAAATTAAATAACTAACGAAATAAATGACAGAATAACTTACAACAAAATGTTAAACACATATTAAATACTTTCTGATGGACGTGTGGTCCCGTTTCCCCTTGAAAATACCTTAATGAGAGGTGGAATGAAAGAAAACAAAAGAAGATTGCACTTTCTGGTAAACAAACCACAGTGCCGTTTGATTGAATGAAGGCTTTTTCTGAAATAAATAAACCATTAAGGAAATAATTTAAAGAAAACACAGATACAGCTTTTGCTTTTAAGAGTTATAGCAATGTAGTTTCTCTGCTCATAAATAAGAAATTCCATAATTTAGCGTTGAGTTGTTGGCTCCATCCCGAACGACCATAACAATGCCTATGCATACAGAGCTGTTTTCACAGATAAAGTGCTGATCGAGGAACTTTTAGAGGGATTTTCTTTCTGCCTTTCTTTACATTTTGTTCCATTTAAGACCCTTGGGATAGATCCTGAGAAGCACTAGCCTTAAAGTGCTAGCACAGATCTATTTTTGTTGTTAATAATCACCTTACCTGTCGCAGATAGCTCTTTGAACCAGAAACAAGTTTTTTCTTAGAAGTTTCATACTGATTCTTGCCATTTGTATTTGCTAAACTCCACTCAGTTTCTTTTTAAATGGGTATTCTTGCAGAAATGTGATGCTAATCCACCAGAATGTGCTACAGCTAGCTACTGCTGCTACTTGCATTAGCAAGTGTTTACCACATCAACAACTTAAGTAAAACTATCACCGATAGATCGTGCTTACAAGAATTTAATGAAAATTTTTTATTGGACCTTAACTTGACCTTAGCTTAGCTCAAACGAGCCATTAGCTCCACAATTGGGGTGATTCAAAAAGCCATCTGCGATAAGAAGATATTAAGTGTGGTATGGTTTTAGGATGACTAAAGCCAGAACGCAACTCTCTCAAGTTGCAATGTGAGGACACAGACAGAACTACGTTGGACTCGGGTTTCGTATGAAGGCAATCACAGCAATGGTCGCCACACACTGCCTCCAAAAGCAAGAAAGCTAGAAAAAATTATCCCTGAGGCGCACATTCAGCTGTGTTGAGATTCCCAACCTGGTTGGTGATCTTGGTTTGGTTAAAAGTGCATTCTTAGGATAGGAGAGCCATCATTGGTTTCTACGGGCCTGGTCACACTGATCCGTTCACTTTTAACCCCTAGCTGCCATCTCACACAGCGATAATCCCAAACTGCTTTGCTAACATTTTGAAGGCAAATCTGGAAATCTGAACATTTATTAGACGAGAGAGAAATCACAGCTTCCTCCAACACGTTTGACATCTTATGTGCATTTTCATTACCCTTCCAATACCGCCCCTCCTCTTTTTTTTATTTATTAAACACTGTTCACAAATGTTGTCAAACTTTCACAGACTCCATCACTGACAACTTCATGGCTTCCTCCATCAGCTGATTGTCCGTAAATGTGGCGGGGGGTTCTGGGACGGATTCCGAAACGCCAATCAGTGACTCCAGGAGACAGGTCCCGTGGTCGCTCGCTGCAGGGAAACTGGGGTAACTAGGCAACTGAAACTGGAAATAATTGTCCATGTGCTCATATTCCTTGAGGGAGTTGTAAAGTGAGCTGGGCCCCAAACACGGGAAGCCATCAAAGAACTCCAGGTCTGACTCAGACGAGAGGCTCAGGTCCATGTTGTAGCTCGCAGAGCGGTCGACAGTGGGGGAGGGTGTGTGTGGAACGCTGCTGCTGCTGTGGAACAGAGCGTTCCCCTGGTTGGCGTTCTCATCCAAAAGTTCCGACATGGCTGCAGCTTGATTGTCCGTGTGACCGTCCGCAGAGTCCAACAGTGCAGCGTCTATGTTGTCATTTTCGTCCGCAAAGTCCCCCATGCTAAAGCTACGGAACGCCTCTGTGGCAGGCTGCTGCTTTTCCTGCTGCTGGTCCGTGCAACGAGTGTTTTTACCGTTCCTGTCCTCTCCGCTCTCCGTGTCGCTGAAACACAATATCCGGCTCAGGCCGTTCTCGTCCACATCCAGCGGGCTGTTATGCCGGATCCCGCCTAGCTCCGATTCCTCACTCTGGCCCGAGAAGTCTGATAAGTCTGTCATGTCGCTGCTGCAGCTGTTCTCTCCAGCTGCTGCCAGCTCCGAGCTAAACGGGAAGGAGGGCACCGCCGGTAGGGAGTTGGCTCCCGCCTTCTCCTCCTCTGAGCTGGCCTGCTCCTCCAGCCTCTTCTCCAGCTCCAGCTTCATGAGAGTGTGAATGTAGTGCGTCTGGACACGGGTGGAGTTGAACTCGATGCGACCCTCTGTGTTTCCACAGCCGTCTTTGGTGCAGCCACATGGGAAAGATGAGTGGTCCATCTACGAGAAGCAGAAGAAAATGGTGAAATCTCGGAAACTCTTACCTTAGTGCTTCAACTTTTCGGGAACTGTTGACGCCTTACCTGACACTTGATGCCAGCAAGGCTGCAGCTGCACGTCTCAGGCTCGCAGAAGCCCTGGCAGTCGCAGCCGCAGTTCTCCCTGGAGATCCTCAACTCGTGGAGCTGCTTCTTCTCCTCCTTGTCAATCTTCTTCACACCAGTTGCTTTGAGCAGTGCATAGCGCTGTTTTGATGGGTAAGGCTGAAGGAAGGAGCCTTCATCCAGGTTGGCTCCACTGATGTCGATGTCCTGTTCTGGGATATCGTCAACCGTCAGCCGGTCCGCCTCCTCGCTTTCCTGCGTTCCATTCCTCGTCAGCTGAAACGCACAGCCACGTTTATTTGCCATGACTCACAGGAGAGAACATTTCAGCTCGAATGGTTTTAGGTTTCCTCACCTTCCGTTTTAGAGCCTCCAGCTTCTCTTCCCTGAGTCTGCTGAGAAGTTTCTCCCTGCGCAGGAGCCGCTGCTCCAAGGTGAACTCTGCGAGCGTGTACGTGCGGAGCTCACTGTGGCGCTGCACCATGCCTAGAGTGCACCCCCCTCGACTGGGAACGCTGGTGAAACCCTGGCACCGAGGGAAGAAGAACACCGTCACCTGGTCGAAGGTCACATTACTTCGTCTTGCTCTTTTGGATCTCTTGAGGATGGATGTCGCTATAAATGGACAAAGATTTGGGTTTAGAACACAGACCATTCAAAGTTGGATGATGCTGTATCTTGTCCCTGCCACTAGATGGCAGCATGGACCACTTTTATGTGTGCATGCTGCTGAATAGACTGTAAAAAGACACCTCTCTGATGTACGCAATTAAATGATACTGCCAACAGGAGTCCAACACACTTACATCCTGTTAAGTGAAACCTAAACTGCCGGGAATACATTTAGGTTTTCTTTCTTGTTCCAGTGTGCAACTAATGCCGCCCACTTCAGGAATTTTCCCTCCACAGACCAGCGAAGGAAGCAGCAACTCATAAAGCATTGTGGAAGAAGTAAAGCCATCTCGTGCCCGTCCGAGCCACTTGTTGAGCTGACGAGCTTCAGAATCCATCAGAACACACATTCACCGCTTGAGAATTCAAGTGGAACCATGTGTGGAAAGAAAATCTTCAAAAGACTTTCCCGCCAAACTCAGGCCTCTCTCTCTCTCTCTCTCTCTCTCTCAAGACAAGCAGCGTTTCCCAGGCTGTGATCGTGTGGTTAAAGGAAAATCTAGCAAATCCCTGTTATGTGGTGAGAATCCCCTCGGAAACCAAAGTGTCTCAGAACGACCGGCGTTGAGATTCACAAACGTGAGGAGAAAACGAGTTCACCTGGGGGCGATAATTGAGACCCAAAGGTTATAAAGAATAACACAAACCCTAACAAGCAAACGTTTGCCTTAATAGCCATGCTATGTGGCGTACTCTGCTTCTAGGGGTGATCCAGACGCCAGGTTCGGCTTCACATCCATCACGTTCAGTCGGGTTTATGACACACACGTCTGTCTGCCGCTTCTAAATGAAACAGCTTTACAGGCTGTTCCCCTGCCTCCACTTCACAATGGCAAACAACTTTCAGTCCAACACAAACACTGGATCATAATAGTCCACTCCATCAGCTCCTCTAGTTGTGTGTGCATGCCTTTATTCTTGATTGCCCACCCTTTCCCTCCTCATTTTTTTAGTCCCTTCACCCAGATCCTTTCAGCACCTGTGTTGGGTGCACGCCCAGGTTTCAGACAAGGCGCTGTGTGTTCCCCAGTCTTGGCATCATGCCACGCTTCTCCTCCTGGCTTCCTGCCCCACCATCCTGGAAGGCTCACAACGTCCGCCCTTCTCTCCTGCAACACAATCCCTGTCCAACTCGTCCCTCCAGTTCCCTTAAGACCGACTGGTGTGCCCAGGTCCAGACGGAAACCCTACGAAGGCTGCATGACCTAAATCTCTAAGGCTAAAGGTGACGCACTGCAAGGTTGGAGATGGAACCAAGGTGAGCGGTCCCTGCGTCATGCAATTATCCGTTCTGCAGCTTTAGGGCATCAAATCAAAAGATGTGTTGGCTGCAAATGTCTGAAATTATTTCAAAGTGTTTCAGCCAGATAAATTGCTTAATCTCTTCCCGGATATTTGAAAGCAAGCATCTATTATCGGCTATTCGACCACAGAGAGGAGACACCCACTTTTGAAGTTGGTTGCTGGGGAACTGGGGTTGCTGGGAGTGGAGTCCAGAGTGTCGGAGTAGCAGCTCTCCCCCTCTGAGTCCCAGCCCGAGCAGGCAGAGGAGAGGGAAGAGGGTGAGGAGTAGCACGGGTCCTCATCCACCTCCTCAAACTTCCTCTTGCGAAGCCCACTCATGGCGTCAGCTAACAATCTGCAAGGAAAGGAGCAAACACAGAGGTCATTAACCAATTAGCCTCACTAAAGAACCCAACAAGCATCGGCACGCTGCATCAGAGCTTCTGCATACAGGGGACTTGAACAGTTCTCATGCGAGTCTGCAAGCATCTGAATCTGGTGCTGAGAAGGAGACTCAGGCACGGCACAGGAAACAATCAATCACTCCCATTTGCTTAAGTCAACAATTAGTGGAACCTTCAGCCCCTCACAAATCCCATCAGCTCAGCAAATGAATTGATTAGAGAAGAGACCAAACAAAGGTGAGCCAATCATCCAGCTGCAGACGTTTCAGTCTTAAAGCAGACATCATAATTAAATAAAGCAGGCTGCACACACACACACACACACACACACACACACACACACACACACACACACACACACACACACACACACACACACACACACACACACACACACACACACACACACACACACACACACACACACACACACACACACACACACACACACACACACACACACACACACACACACACACACACACACACACACACACACACAGGAAATCTGGTTTTCTTATTCAACCCATGCATTCTGCCTCCATGATCAAAATATAAAATGAAAAAGCGAGACAAAGCCTCCCTTTCCTCTTCGTTTGTTTAGTAAGTGAAATTAAAGCAAAAATTTCATGCATGAAAAATTATGTTCCGAGTCATGTTTTTTCCTGTTTCTATTCACTTTTACTATTTATAAAAATTCTGTTGCAAAAAACAAAAAGACATTTTTGATCAAAATCACTAAACGGTCTTGAATGACAGAATGTGCGTTTTATTGATTCATTCATAAAAACTGAGCTCTGTTTTTGCAAACAAACTCCTCATACACTGTAAAACCTGATTAGTTAACCTGACTTTAAAAAACATGCAAACCAATTGCACTTAAAACTAAGTAAAATGCACTTAAATGCAAGACACTATAACTAAGACAAACCAATATATAACACTTGGAAATTTGCATACTGAACTTGCATGTGCCTGCGTCTTAGTACTTCGTTTTTCTTAATAATTTGCATTTAAATGCATTTTATTTTGCATTAGTAGCTCCAACACATATTTATCTATTCCTGTCTAAATATTATTTTTAGTGTATTATATTATAAAAGTTAAAAATCTGATCTTTTTAAACAATGAAAGAAAAAAATTACAATTTATCCTCAATTTTTCTAAAAGATATCCTCATAGCTGCACGATGAAGTATTTACTTCTTATTTTATTCTGTTACCAAGTAGCTCAAACCTCAGGGGGTTCCAGGAAAAGAGTCGGGAACATGCGATGTGGAAAAACTAACATGCTTTACAGAGAAAACGAGTACTGCTCGTTTGCTTTATTGAGATAAAACTGGCCATAAAGTCTGAGAAGGCGACTGGCTGCCAGACAGGTCATCGCCTGGGATGGGAGGAGTGAGGAAGGAGGTGAGGGGAGGCAGGACTGGGCTCTGCTCCAGGACGGACACTCCCTCCGACGGTGTGGGATGGAAAAGGAGGCATTTACTTTTACCCATAAAGAGATCATCTCACCAAATCACTCTCAGCTGCTGCAGCTCGTCTGCTTTCAGCTGTAAGTTGGGCTGCACTGTTTCCTCAAGGCAAGACTCGACAAAACTCTTCCAGTGGCTTTACAGGAAGTTCCACTTGGTGCATGACCTGCTCAGGCTTGCTCACATGTTATGTGAAACTCAGCACTTTAAAGAAATAAGAGGTTTGTTTCCAGCATCCTGCAAGGGGTGATTATGCAAGAAAAAAAAAGGCAGTGAGAGAGATAAAGATGCTGGAGTCAAGGGCAAAAGGCAGACAGCTTCATACCGGAGTACTGTTGGGTGGAGGGAGGGGGAGGGTGTATTGTTATTGCTGCAGCATGATAAATGAATCACCTTGCAATAGGTCAGGCTGGATCACACTCCCAACAAAGAAACAAAAGAACAGTAGCCGCCACCGTGTGTTTTATATCGCAGATCCCAAAAAAGAGGGAAGAGAAGCTTCTAAAATCTCAATCCACAAATGCACTCAAGCGCTAAATAATCCCCAAATGCCTTCCAGAGCTCCTCGCGTCACAGCGGGGGATTTGCATTGAAACAATTTACAAACACCTGGACCCAGCATCTGTTGCCCTCGCGTGCTCACTTATCGGACATGTGTGTCCCACACTCTTCCACGTGCAAAAATAAACACACACACACACAAGGGCTCACCTTGCCATCACTCAATTTTTTTTACAACAACAGAAGAAAAAAGCGGAAAACAAAAGCTGGGAGGCATCCTCAAGGGAGTACACAGCGCCAACTAAGCAAAGTCTTTCTAATTAAAAGCTGCAGTGAGACAGATGAGAGGAGGGGTGTGTGTGTGTGTGTGTGGTGGTGGGGGGGGGGGGGGGAGAGTAGTGGTGTCAGAACTGGGTCATTGTCTCTTGACTGCAGTCTACCTGACACATTGATTTGTTAATCCTGTTCAATGGGCAGAAACAATGGCGAGAGGTTAATCCTGGCAAAAGGGGGACGGCTTGCAGTCAATCTGGAGCTGCTCAGCCTCTGCAGCCACACACACACACAGAGAGAGGAGAGAGAGAGAGAGGAGAGAGAGGGGACAGAGGGGAGAGAGAGAGAGGAGACAGAGAGAGAGAGAGAGAGAGAGAGAGAGAGAGAGGAGAGAGAGAGAGAGAGAGAGAGAGAGAGAGAGAGAGAGAGAGAGAGATGACTCATTTGCAAAAGGGTGGAGAAGAGATAAAAGGGAGACTCAGAAGTCTTTGAATGTCTTCCTTTAAATGGAGAATGGATGTGATCGGACAGCTGAGCCAGAGAGAGGCAGAGCAGCGTGTTTTCATCGTGCACTAAATTATGCATCATTGTCATTCCATCAAGTGCACACACACACACACACACACACACACACACACACACACACACACACACACACACACACACACACACACACACACACAGAGAGAGATAAAGGAGGCAGCCACTGAGGTGCTCCCCAGCCAGTTGTCGCAGGAGTTGGGAAGATAAATCTCCGGCGAGGAGATTTGTCACCAGGAGTACTACACCGCTCCAACGTCTGATGCGTAACTGTGTCAGTCGAATAAGATTATCTGGAAATAAGAAGCTACAGGCTGTTCACTTCGGAGTCGCTTACACCTTATCTCGGAAACAGAACCTGCCGTCTTTATGAAACGGGATCTGGGAATTATCGGGACAAACGATAATCAGGAGGTAAACAAAACAAAACAAAACAACTTCCACCGTTAACAAGGTAATCAGAGCAAATAAAGGCTAATGAAAACTAAACAGGAAATGTTAACACTAGTGTCTGTGGCTCATTAGGGTCACCATGGTAACCACACACCAGGGGATTAAAGAGAAAAGCAGTGATGGAATTTCACAGGGATGAAAATCAAAATCCTCTTGCATGTGTGTGTTTAAACTACCCCCCCCCCCCATACCCTTTGCAGCCCAACAGAGCAAGTCACAGTTGACTTTGCCCCCTTCGTGCTGCCTGTCCAGCCTCCTCTGCTGCTGATAACAGCGTGGGCGGGAGCAACAAGTTGTGCTAACCTTGGCCCGCAGAGAGCGTTTACACGGCACGCTGGCAACCTCGCAGTGTCTGAGCGACTGACTGAGTGCTCATGTGATAATGATGAGCCAGGGAGTCGTCCTGCACGTGCGCAGTCATGTCCAGGCAGCTCACACACACTCACACACACCTCTCTTAGGCTTTGAGGTGTTGTGCGTCTTTTATTCTCCCACCTCAAGAGGTAATTGATAAGAGCTGTCGGGCCGGAATTTCCTGTTCCCGCACAGCTGGGGTTTAAAACCTCACCAGCTGTCATCCCAGAGTGCTCCACCTGCTGGAGCCAAAGCGCGTGTTTTCCCCTCTATGAGCCTGTTGTTTTCAGAGCTCGCCCGTGACTGTGCCACAGAAACATTCTGTTCTTTAGCCCCGTGCACACGCAGAGTCCAAAAAAAAAAAGTAGAGAGGTAGTGGGAAGGAGAAGAACGGATCGTACAGAGCAAATAAATAATGTCATGTCTCCAAGCCGCAGGAATTCCACTCTGGCAGCGCCGCTCCAGCTGTAACAGTGAGAGAAGAACACAGGCTCTATCTAATCCAGATGTGTTTTCTGCTGCTAACCACTGGAAAGTCTTACTCCCTTAAGGCATTTGAGCCTTCTCCTGCAGCCGCACCTGACTGGGTACAAGCCTGAATTCCACCTTAAAAAACACTTCTGTAACGAGCTGTTTTTGTTTTTAACCTGAGAATGTAACCTAAGGATTACTGTGTGTGTATGTGTGTGCGTGTGTGTGTGTGTGTGTGTGTGTGTGTGTGTGTGTGTGTGTGTGTGTGTGTGTGTGTGTGTGTGTGTGTGTGTGTGTGTGTGTGTGTGTGTGTAGGAAGGGAGGGAGGAGGTCGCCGGTTCAGGGGTCGTGCTCCAGTCTGGGACACTTGCTGTATGGAATGCTGGGAGAGGACAAAGCCAGATGGGAGCTCTCTTGCTGCTGTGTTCAAGACTATCAGCAGGCTCCCTGTTCCTACCCCCACCTTCCTCCTCCTCCTCCTCTTTCTCACTACGCCAGGCACAAAAGTGTGGGGGCCATCCTGCTGACCGAAATCAAGCAGACAGCCTCGTCTGAACCCAGCTTTTATTTATTTTTCCTGTTGCTACCGCTGCCTCCTCTCCCAGCTGGGAGGAAAGATACCAAGTGTGCACCAGCTTCCTGAGGTTGTGAAACAAAAAACACAGCAGTGCACAGGAAGTGGCCATCCAGATTATCAGTCTGACAGCTGAAGGCACCACAAGGTTAACTGAAGACAAGATCACATGACGGACATGAGGCTGTTTAAGGGGGGAGATGTTTGTTTTGGTGGAAAATTCCCCTCAAGCATTACAGGGAGCTTTTGTTTCCTTATAATAAATGATAAATCTAAAAATGGGGGTAACAGAGTGCTATACATGAAGATGTGGAATGCATGCCAGATTACATGGAAGTGCTGAGTGGCCTCACAGTAAACAAAGGATCAGTCAGCTCCATGGCGCCTGATTCAGGAAATTCCAAACATTATCCGGGTGAGGTCGCGCTAGAGACGTTTCAACGATCCAAACCTGGGAAAACAACGCATCCATGCACAAAAGCTAAATTATAGGCTACAAAAATATATATTTCAATTACTTTTGATTTAGGAGAAAAAACGGTGGTTTTATTAGAAGAATAATGATAATCCCAACATGTGTGATCAAACAATACATCTGGTGCGCGCACCTGGCCACCTGCGCAAAGGTGTGTATAAAGGCATAAATAATCAATACGAAATCAGTGATCGGATCCGATTCGGACGTGTTGATTCCTCACACTCCCCTTCTCCCACACAAACACACACGCCTCCATCTCAGCTGACCCGATCATTCCTCATGATTAATCCTAATGACAGCAGCCCTGTCAGCTGTGCGCTCAGATGTAGTTCCTTCAGGAGTTACAAGAGGCGCATCAGCACCGCGTAAGGTGAACAACTCCAGCACACGCGCGCGCGCGCACACACACACACACACACACACACACACACACACACACACACACACACACGAGCTCATCAACAGTTCAGAGAAATCATTCCTAAAACACAGAATGTTGTTTGAACCAAATCTCCTCACTGCGCGCGTTAAGTTTCCTAAAATAAAATGAAATGCAACACAAAAGCCCCATCATATAATAATAATAATAATAACAATAATCACAATAATAATAATAATAATAATAATAATAATAATAATAATAATAATAATAATAATTATTATTATTATTATTATTATTATTATTATGACTAAAACGATGGTTGTTATGAAACTTCTGAATGAAGCAACAACTATTTAAGTCGCGTTTCTCCCCTTTTACTGGGTGAAATAACAATAAACCACCTTAAGCCACTTAAACAAGCGTGTCAGCGCAATAAACCTCCAACTTCTAGCGGAGGTCAGAACTCCGGCACAAAAAGCGTCTAAATGAACACATGGCGTGGTTTCTCACAAGTTAACGCGTTTAAATGACAGCAACACAATTAAACACTCTTAGACTACTCTGCTGTCCTCTTCGGCTCGGGTCAACATGTAAACTAGAGCTCATCAACAGCGACTACCCGGTTTTAATTAATACTCACCACCAGTTCAAGTATCCGATCAGCATTAGGAATCACAACAGGGTGGATGGTGGAGCCGTGGGATTAATCCAGAGGGGTAGATTTGTCAAAACATAAAAAAGAAGGAGCGTTTATCCTGGTGTGTGTGAGCTCCAGCAGCTCTCGGTGCTATTGTCTGTGACTGTGTATGAGAGAGAGAGAGAGCTGGACGGAGCTCCGCAGCAGCTGAAGCGCTTCCCTTGTCTGTAGCAGACTGGCGAGAAGCGCAGCCTTTTTCGTCAGTGGAAAACTCCCTCCTGGCGTCTGGTGTGACGCAGGCGGTGACACAGGGAGGCTGCTTCACCCACGCTGCTTCCTGCCTTACTGTACCTACCTGCGCGAGCACACACACACACACACACACACACACACACACACACACACACACACACACACACACACACACACACACACACACACACACACACACACACACACACACACACACACATCAATAACCCAATCCACTACAGATAAATATTTTATAATTTATTTTATGTGATTAGATGAAACAAACAAACAAATGAATAAATAAATATTATTCTATTAACCTGATTGTTTGAAAAAAGATGTTGCTGGTGTGTCTTATTTCCAGTGACTAAACAGAACTGACTCACTCCCCCCCCCCCCCCCCCCCCCTCTCTCTCTCTCTCTCTCTCTCTCTCTCTCTCTCTCTCTCTCTCTCTCTCAAACGGAACTAAAGTGTCTGGTTTCAAAGGAAACGCCATCTTTTACCATAAGTGTCAGACGGCTACTTTATGTGACTAACAGGGAGTTTTCTGAAAAACAAGAACCAGTTGGTTATAGTGACTCTTTAAAATTTAGAATGTAAATTACTGACTTTATTGAATAATAACAGTATTAACAGCAATTCACTAATTGTTTAAAGGTGTAGGACACTGAAACCCCATTTTTTGACGATTATTCCTGATTATAATCGGTCTTTGTAAGTTTTCTGTACAGGCTAAACATGAAAATAGTCTTCCACACCTATCTCCTGTCGCTTCTGATAGAAAATAGACGGTAAAACTCTAAAATTTGAAAATCCTGACAGATCTACGTCACACTGTTGCTCACGACGGCAAAGGCTGTTGTTGGTTTAGCATCCAGGAAACATCAGAGAACATCTAGACTAGCAGAAGCTAACTGTTAGCATTAGCAACTTCACCACACAGCAGAATTCCTCCAGGCTTGTGTTATTTGTTCATATAAAATATCAGCATTGCAAAGCAGTGGTAGTGTTGCGTTGCTGTTATCCAGTCCAAGATGTCCAAATATCAGGAAATAAGACTTCAAACCTACAGCCTGAAGCTCAGCTCCTGTGGGTCACTACTAGTTCCTGAAAATGCAACACCAATGTTTATTTTTTCTCCCCCAGAGAATGACTTACAAGGCGTTCATCCCCCTTAGAGACCACTGCAGATGTATTGATTAAACAAGTGAACCAAACCTTTAATTTACTGAATCTCTAGTGAATTAGAACTGGATTGAACTGAACTCTGTATCATTCGTAGAAATAGACCGAATGAATTGGACTGAATGGAATTGGGATGTAAATGAGGAATTGACCCCATCCATCATACTGCCTGAGATGATTTCTGTTGTAAGAAAAAAGTAACTGAAGTGAAATGGAACTGAGTTAAACTGAATCATACTATTTGAATCAAAATGAATCAATTTTAATTGAACTGAATCTAATAGACTCAAAATGATCCAGATTGCTTTTAATTACTCTTTGAATCGAAACTATAAAATAAAGAGACAGTGAAATAATTTCAGTTGACTGACTTGAATCAAACTTGTAATCGAACCAATTCAAATCAAACCGAAACAGGATGAAACCAAATTAAATTCAATCAAATCAGGGTGACTTTAATTTATTTGAATCAATTCAAATAAAATTCAACTAAAATGAATCAAATATAACCCATTGAGACAGGGATTCAATTGAACAGCACAAAATAGAATTTGAATCAACTGAACCAAATCAGCTTGAATTCAAATTGATCGTATTTGAATCAAACTCAATTCAACTGAATCAAACTGCTTCAAATCAAATGAAGCAGAGACAAAAATAAGCGACTTTCTGAACAAAAGACAGAAGTGTGAAGTGAATGAATGAAAGAATCCCTTCTAAGTCCCTTCCTTCTAAGGAAATAAAACATGCTTTGAACATAAATCACATTTAAACATTAAATACGGTTCAGGCTGCATGTTTACAGGAAGAAAAACAAAAAAAAGCAGCTGCTGTGTCAGTGACACAATAAAACAGGAGTTTTCGACCTCCTTTCTGCGCCTCCTTCCTCATTCTTCATTCTCACCACAACATCTGCAGCGTTTTCAATAAATACCTGAAACGAGAGGAGCAGCAGCTGGTTTTCTTCCACACATTTTACTTATTTGGACTCAAATGTTACTGATTTGTTTTGGAATGTATTTGCTGTGACAGCCCAGCAGTACGTGTAATATTTGCAATATTAGAACACTGCTAGTGTGCAGCTCTGTTTCCACACTAAACGCTAACTGGAGAACCACAGCCCTAATCAGCATGCTGTATCATTTGTTTAGTCTCCATGTAGGAATTAAAGGACCAAAATAACATGTTTAATGTACAGCAGCTGGTTTGCATGTTTAAGGTTTACAACTAAAACCAAATTTGCTTTCAGGTCAAAGAAATGTTCCAGTTTCGTCCTGCTGGACGAGTTTGAAGCCAGTTTTCAGAGGAATATCATAGAGGAACCTTTAAAAAAAGGGAAAATGAGATATTTTTTTAAGTTTTGAATGAGGTTTACACAGACTTTGACTCTCAACCTCAGTATCTCTAATCTTTTGCTACTATCAACAACCCTGAAGCTATTGACGCCATCATCATGAGTGAAATTTAACTCCAAAGTACAGCACTGATTTCTGTCCAGCCCTTAAATGTTTTAAATTCCTCTGTGTTGCAACAACCGATGGGATCCATCTGGGACCGTTTTTTTCCGTGGAAGCAGAAGCAGCGACACACACCCTTACACACTCAGGTATTTATGAGTTGAGCTGCCCATGGAGAGTCCTTTTGAGACGCTTCAGGTTCTTTCTCAGCAGGAACTGGACTCTGCCAACACCAACACAGGTGCTCCTCTCAGAGACTCGGGGGAGAGCTGTGTGATGCTAATCGTCCCCTGGTAATTAAGGGCCCTGTTCTCACATGAGCCGGGGGATTTCATAAGAGGCGTCACCCAGAATGACTAAACAAGCAAATCAAGCTGAATGACAGCAGATATTTACTCCCACCGGACCTGCAGTCGCTTTTCACATTAGCGACTGACACAATCAAATAATGTGGCAGCAAGAGGATTTTCTACGTGTCAGTCGTTTGCTCTGCTAGTTTCACCGGAGACATCAATTAGCATTTAAACAAGGCTTTGTGATAATGAACGTGCGAGATGAGATTAAATCTGCTGTGCAAAGGGTGAGAGTGGGAGAGACTTTACAGCCAGTGTCTTACCTGCTGCTGAAAATCAGAGAAATTTTATTTTTTTCTGACTGATGAGCTAACAGCTAGTCACAGAGGGGCAAGACATGAATGAATAGTTGCTGATGGATAGCAATACACATACATACATACATACATACATACATACATAAACGTATATATGTGTGTGTGTGTTACTTCATCTGCCTCTCTTCTTACCCTGATGCACCCATCACTCTGAAGCAGGGTCCACATGGCCTTCTCATTGCTGTTCAGTTCCAGTCCTTTGAGTTCCCTTTACGCTGTGCGAGTGGAAATGCTCTTACTTTCATTGATAAACATAGCCCTGAGTTCTACTGTTGTTTTTCTTCAATTTGATTTCCAGAAATGTGGACTCGAGTCACATGACTTGAACTCGAGTCAGACTCAAGTCATTATTTTTAATGACTTCTGGCCTGACTTGGTAAAATTTATAAAGACTTGTGACTTGACTCGGACTTGAATGCCAATGACTTGCGATTTGAATCGTCTTGCATCTGTTGACTTGATGATGACTTGAGCATATTTAATGTTTTAGCGCAAAAGTGGCATGACATGGACAAAAATCATAAGTCATTCTTCATTCTGGGTTAGATATTGTACTGCTAAATGCAGCAGAACTTTGTTTATAATCAGCTTCAGTTGCACTTTCTTCTTGTTTGAGCAAATAAATGAAGCTTTATGAAGCTTTATTTATGGAATTTATTTATTATCATCGAGAGGAGCCAGTTGAGGTGGCTCGGGCATCTGGTCAGGATGCCTCCTGGACGCCTCCCTGGTGAGGCTTTCCGGGCACATCCAACTGGGAGGAGACCTAAAGGTAGACCCAGGACACGGTGGAGGGACTATGTCTCTCACCTGGCCAGGGAACACCTTGGGATTCCCCTGGAGGAGCTGGCCCAAGTGGCTGGGGAGAGGGAAGTCTGGGCCTCTCGACTTAGACTACTGCCCCCGCGACCCGACTCCGGATAAGTGGATGAAAATGGATGGATTTATTATCATTGTCATTAAATTGAAGTTGGACAGATGACTTGATTATGACTTGAAAATTCAAAGTTAAGGACTTGGACTTGACTTGGACTTCCACATCATTGACTTTGGACTCGACTTGGACTTGATTGTCTTTGACTTGGACTTGACTCGAGACTTGACTGGAAAGACCCTTGACTCACTTATGACTTGCAAAGCAGTGACTTGGTCATACGTCTGTTGATTTCACCAAACTTTTAAGCAATTGATGATCACAATCACTCAGGATTTTTTTCCAGCCACATTTCTTCCTCGAAGACGATGGGTCTCCACTATCCATCCAGTTTTTAATAATGCGCCGGACAGTTCTTAACCCAATTTTAGTAGTTTATGTCACCTCCTTAGAGGTTTTCTCTGCTTGATGCATGCCAGGGATTGGACCCTTCTCAAACAGACTACAGCCCGGACTGCACTATGCGTTTTCGGCCATCACACAGGACGGCTCACGCCACACTGTGAGGACTCGCGAGAGGTGGCACCCTGTATGGCTCAAGATTTCAGTGAGCCAAACTGCACGACTTCTCACTGACACTGCGCGCCCTCCAAAAAGCTTCTAGTAGCAGACAGCTAACCAAAACAACAATGTCGTTACTGCATGTAGCTTCCACTGTTGCTAGTAGGGATGGGTACCTTTGACATTTGAATCGATCCGGTACTAATTCCCGGTACCTACGAATCGATACCGGTACTTAACGGTACCAATTT